AAAAGGGCGCCATCCAACGCTCTGGATGGCAAATTACAAACGGAGCCGGAACGATACGGAAGTCTAAAAGCGGATGAAACAGGCAGACTTCAAAGACTGTAAAGTTTTATCCGATTCCAAGAGGGTTATAACGAAAGTTTGTTTCTTTTCATCATCTACAGTAGACAAAAAAGAACAGATTTTCTTAGATATATTTTGGCATAAGCATGGCTTTCGGTATTTTTATAGCACCATCTCAACTTTCAATGACTTTAGTTATACCAAATTTGTGAAATTCCTTAGTTTTCAATGACAAAATATGAAAGCACATGATTCACAATCCTTTCCAGTGATATAAATAGTAGTCTATCAAAAAAAGTTAAGTAGAATCCTAAACAAATGATAATGAAAATGAGCAAGGACAGCAAAATAACATGATTCCCTTAATACCACACCATATACTTAACAGGGTCTGTTTACGATTAAGTCCTCCACCCGTTTCCTGGACAGATCATGCCACACGACCAATACACTGACGACTACGTCTTGCGTTATGGTAAAGTGTACATTTCCCCGTCGCGAATATAAAAGTGGATCCTGCAAGTGTCGTGTGAACAAAGACTCGAAAGAGACTTAAAGGGAATCTCCCATACCTTGAAAGAAAAACACTACCTTCAGGAATCCTTTCTGCGTTCCAAAATTGAAAGGAGCTTTAGTTCTACCGTAATATGCATACAGTGGGCAAACTACAAACTATTGTTCCGTCTAAGCTGGACAGACTGACAAAAAATGCAATTTACATACGGACTTTCTCTAAAAAATAAAAACAACATATCTATTTAAAGAACGGCTTGTTTCACGGTGTTTCAAAGTCCTTCTTTATATGTTGTACATTTATAAACTATAAACCACATTTTTTTTTAAATAGGGACCATGCGTTTGCTTTCTACAACTTCTCTTAAGGACCTTACATATACTTCGGTAAGTAAGTATATAACTAACTTATTGCTGAGACCATGGTTGAAAGACCGCCAAAGCCCACTGTGTTAACAGCAGAGAGCAGACGGCTTTTCATTGGGGTCTTAGTTCAAGGGGACGCACCAAGCGAACTGTTGAGAAGGCGCCATAGGCAAGCTGTTTTAAACACCTTTTCAGCAGCTGACGCCCATGTACTGTTCTTGACTAATCCACTCCTATACGAAGACGGCAAGGATAAACTGCCAGCCCAGACCACCTCTGTGTGTGTCTATTCATTTATCTGCTCCTGTGGGACAGAATATAGTGGTCGCACGAGCCGACCTTTTCCAAAAGAGTCCGAGAACACCTTTCAGTGTGGTTAGGAAAGGGCCAAATAAAGGGCATTAACAGCTACATTCTAGCACAAATGCTAGACTTAAATCATCGTTTAGACGAAAGATTTTTTACCAAACTGCATATTTTACTTAGTTACATAACGATATAAGTATAGGTACCTGAGGAGAATTTATGGAAAGCAAACATATGGTCGCCAATTCATCTTTCGAATTTTCTCTGGGAATTTTCACAACTATAAAATGCTTACTCGTGTAAATAAGTAGGCATTTATAAAATGTACGCACTTCGTCCGCTTGCAACGAACATTGGCGATGGTGCGCCGAAGTCACGGAATGGAAAAGAGCTTTCAGACGCCTTATTTCTTCCTGAAGCTGCCGCAGTTCGGAGGCAGGCAGGCACCCTGATGTGGAGGAAGATATCTGAAAGGATATGGAAATTGGCGTCAGACGCTGCAGGTATATTCCTATGGGCATAAACAAGTTTTGTACGCAAAGATAGGAATTTACCAAACAGGGCTTAAGGAATTGTATTTTGGAACATTGCATTGGTAGATAAGTTGCAGGTCTTACCGAAATAACTGTTTAGATTCCTGCCAAATTAGCAATGCTAACTGAAAACATTCTGAAATATATTCGTGGAGGAAGCAAAACATACACTGAGAAAAATGATCGTTTAATACTCACGCAAAACCCAAAAACATTCGCACAAATATCAAAGCACCAAAAAGAAAATGTTGCGAAAAGACCATTGGAAAAGTTACTAATGTACAGTATTGCGAGTGCTGCAAGAAACTTTTATGACGAAATTTAAATTGGTAGTTTAGCGTATATTTTTCCAGGTTATTTTGATCATCTGAGTGGATTTAATCATTAGAAAGGCTTTAGTTTGGAAAACTGCCCTATTAGTTAAAATTATGGAGCGAAATAGGCACTACTTTTGGCTAGATCATGAGTAGGTTTATAACGAAGAAATCTCCTATGCTATAAGGTACGACAGAACCAAACTTTTTATTAATATGCATTGTGCTATGGAAGAATTCCAGGGTACGTAGAAAAAAAGTGGAAAAATTATCCTTTCCACAACTGGAAAATTTTGTCCGAAGTTCCTCAAATGGAAGTGAAGCCAAGTTTAAGGAATCGAATTTGTTATCAGAAACAAGCAGCAATTTCAGCTTTCAAATTATGTTTAGCTAAGTTGTGAAGTTTTTTTGCACAAAATACAGTAGCAAAAACGTTTTCGTCGGAATTTTATTTTACCGCACCGCTCTACTTGCACATAAACAAAGTGTCCTCATATGTTTCCGCGAAGGTAATGTAAAGAAGGCTTTTTTGAATGTAAATAATGTAGATATGTAGTTTATTGTAAACTATACGCTACGCTTATGCGTTAGTTAGAAACGGAACAGACAGAAAAATAGTAAGTATTTCAAAAAGTGGCCATATATGGTCAGTTTTTCGCATTCGCAAGCTCATAACAGATCGTGGAATTAATCCACTCATGCGGAAAATAATCCATTATAAAGAGAAGAGTAAGTTCTTTCATCTCCAGTCAAAATGAATCGCTTATCTTCAGGTAAATTAAAGAAATTGTCAAAATTCCCCAATTTCACTGTGACATTACCTAGGAAAAAGTTAATATACACAGAAATTCGTTAGCTGAATATCCAATTAGAATACTTTTTAAAGAGGCAACCTAATATGGAAAGTTTTTTATGAATCTTAGGAATAACAATATCAGAATTCCGTTGCGGACATTATTTATTCTCGACAATGTGCTTTGCTGTTTTGAGGCATTTCTGAACATGAGCCATATGGCCATCTTCATAACAACTAATATCCAAAAACCCTTTCTTTCGGTAGATGCTCTTTATTTATATCTTATTTTAAAGATTTTGATTTAAACGTCGAACAGAAGCGGACTTTATGAATCACCACATGAAGACACTGAAAACGATGAAAAGTATGCCACATTATTTTGGAAGATATTCAATAAATAGTTATCCACCGTTGAGAAAAGTTCTTTTTGTATAAAGAAATTGGTCACATTCCGCTTTCAACTTACAAGAAGATTTAAATTTATTGTTCTAATTTATAGCTAATTTTTACGCCTGCGGAACTTAGGGTTTATAGGGAAAATTTAGTTTTTCTTAACAAACACTTAGTACTTTTCTTTTAAGTTTTAAATTTGCCTAATGCTGTTCGGAAATTTCCTCACGCCGGTATGCGAGGAATTATCAAACATTTACAAACTTAGGCAAGTTTCTTGCAGCACTCGCAGTACTGTATGTAATGTGCTAAATTTTTGTTGACTAATATCCGCAGCTCCCCGACGTAAACTCCGCTGAGGACGAGTGAGTATCAATAACACTATATCAATAGCGCTAACATGGTAATTACCGCTGGGACAACAGTTTTATTCGCCTGACGTTTTGATGTCCGTTGCGGATTCTTCACCTGAGACATGAGCAGAAAGAAATAGCAGAAACGGGTAAGATATGCACAGAAATTTGCAATATTTATAGGACGTAGTCATTACTGCAAGCATATAACGACAATTGGCGATAATTGCCCTGTTGTGCGTTGATAGTTTGTTGACCGGCATGCGGGCTCTGACTTGCTTAACTTCCATCACGCGTGGTGGACTCGGGCGTGATGATTGCTCGGTCAGCTGGCTCTCTGGTGTTGGCGTAAGACGACGCCATGGTTCACTGTCCCCCACTCCATTAACAAGTGCAACGATTTGTCCAATCTATATTCGGTGCTGAGACTAAATTTGGGCAAAGCAAGTCACCACTTGGGGAATGCGCTGGCCACCGCGTCGTCTTACGCCAACACCAGAGAGCCAGATGGCCAGTAATCATCATGCCCGAGTCCACCACGCGTGATGAAAGTTCAGCAAGTCAGAGCCCGCATGCCGGTCAACAAGCTCTCAACGCACAAGAGGGCAATTATCGCTAATTGTCGTTATATGCTTGCAGTAATGATTATGTCCTATAAATACTGCAAATTCCTCTGCATATGTTTCCATTTCTGCCATTGTTTTATGCTCGTGTCTCAGACGAAAAATCCGCGACGGACATAAAAACGTCAGGCGAATAAAAGTGTTATCCCAGCGATCGAATCGTCTTCTTCTCATTTACTTCCTGGGACTCGCAGGTTCGCTTATAATGGTAATTATCGTAATGAACAAGGACTTCGGAAACCCAATATTGTCATTTTGGCAACAACGAATTTTAAAGAGCCAATAATCATAACACAGCTTAGAGTTAATATTTTAGACTTGAGACTTACGAGCCTTTGTAGTTTCCTATGAAAATATTTGGTGCCATTTTCCTCTCTGAGTTCGCTTTTTGGCTTTTTACTCTTCCAGTCTGTCTCTTGCTGTATATATACTCCTTCGGCCGCATCTCGAACTGCGAGTTCAACATTGGAGCTCTGAGTGGCTTTATCCTGAAGCTTGGCGCATTGTTTTTTTTTTACCGATCTTGAACGAGATCGCGACTCCAAATTCTGAGAACTGTTTGATGCACTCGATCCTCGTCTGTCACCAGCATTGGATTGCAAATTCTGCGAACCCGCGCTAGTCCTGCCAGAATTTGTCCTTGGCCGTACCTCTGAACACAAAAATAATTATAAGGTTCAACTTAGATACGCATATGTACAGTAGATATCATACTTTGTAAATCTGGGTATGCTCAACCTAAATCTCTAGAGCATACCTTGCAGGCTATTAAAGGAGCCCAGCTGAACGTCTTCTAGGCTAGGTTCGGCGGGCTCGAACATCTGCTCCTGATCACCATTGCCAGAGGATCCGTTTGTGTGAACCGTCATGTTTGTGGTCTCGATTCCGGAATCCGGCGCTCGTCCGCCAGACTCCTGACCGTTGACATGGCGACCAGACGCTGGCGAATGTGTCTTAACGGTATCAAATTTTTGTTAACGAAAACAAAATAGCTAATAGGTAGAAGTAAATAGAAAAACTTAAAACGCTTCTAGGTAGAACTATCTGAACAAATAATGCACCTCCTTTTTACTTAGCAAGAGACCTTTTACAAATATGAACCTCCAGCTAGACCGCAGTTACTGTGAAAGATAAATGTTAATAAACCAGCATGTGAAATAAAGGGAAGAGGCAATTAATTTGGACGGGTGTTTTTCAATCCTTTCGAATACGACCTTCCGACTTTTCTGCATCTGTCCTAATATACCGTGACTTTTGTTCAGACTCGAGCGAAAAATTGTTCGGCTTATAGACAAAATCTGAAGCACGCTGCTCCAGGTTTTGATTGAACAAGCTGACTGTTCAGACCCGGAATCTGATCTCATCCGTATTTGTCCCTTTAACACTAAAGATTGCCCCATGATTAATCTTTCTAGCCGAAGAAAGAAGACAAAACCATATCCTTCTTAACGAATGAACCGGTAGTACATAGAGGAAGACCTTGCATATTATGCTAGTTCAGCTGAGGACAAAGAAGACAGGTACAATAGTTATTAATAGTAGTGAAAACGCGATTCCCACCCAGTAAGTCAGAAAAAGGAAGAGCGTTCACCGGGAAAGGTTATTAGATGTCTGACGCTTCGGGTATTTGTGTCGTCCACCAATCTTCTGAGACTGAGGATACAACAGGCCGACAACGGGACTAGTGGAGGCGGCGTGAAACAATCGGGACCGCCAAATATCTCCACGACCAACGAGCGCGTGGAGGAAACAAACAATGGGACCGTGAGGCAGACGCAGTGCCACGGATGGCCAACGGAAGCACAGCTGTGGT